CTTTAACTTCTCTCTCCTTACTCTTCCTAGTTTCGCGTACGGGATTTTCTTTCTTAGATAGTTACACTCGATTGCCAAGCGTGTGGTCGAGTGCATATTAGATAGGCTCCCTTTACGTTATTTTATTGCCAAGAGTGTGGTAAAATAACGCGAAGTATTGCTATATTGCCTAGCGTGTGGTACAGCAAAGCTTCGATCCCCCGTCGCCGAAAAAAGGAATTTCCCGCGATAGTGGTAACGCACGTCCCGGTTATTGTCCGCAAGGATAGACCAAAAAGTGCGCCTGAGAATTGTTTCGTCAACCGACGTCACAATATCAAAAAAATTTAATTGAATTCGTCAAAAATACATTTCAAAATACTATAAAAAAAATTATTTATGTTAGTGATGGTGCCGGAAGCCAATATAAAAATAGAATGAATTTTCTAAACTTAGTTCGATATTACGGCATTTATTCTATTTAGAGCAGAGTGGCATTTTTTTGCAAGTTATCATGTTAAAAGTCCATGTGATGGAATTGGTGGAGATATAAAAAGATTAGCTCGACGAGAAAGCTTGCTCGGTAAAATCATAAGTAATTCTGCAGAATTTTACAAATGGGCGAAGCAAGTTATGCCTAAAATAACGTTTATTTACTGTAGTCAAGAAGAATATGAAACTTTTGAAAGTAGCATGTATAGTCAATTAAAAGATGCTCTTACTATACAAGAGTATGAAGTTTTTTTTACTTTAATTTCCGTTGTATTGTCATCACTAACTGGAATGAATGCATGCAGTGATTGTGTTCCTTGTCCATATCTTTATTAGTCTCCGAGAAATCGAATTAATAAAAAAAAGTCCAATATTTTTTCAACAGTTGATAAGTCGGCCCCTTATCAATATTTTAATCTAAAACTCTGCACAGATGTTGACCTCTGTATAGGTACAAGTCTACGAACTTTGAACCAAATTGGTGATTTGAAGTTTAAAACTGTTTCAAATAGCCAAGAATTGCCCAAATATGAACATTTCAAAATTCGATATCTTGGCGATAAAAAAAGATATTTAGGCAAACTCAACGGCATTTGAAAGAGGAAGAATTATATTAAGCGGCTTTAAATTGTTTTCTATGAAAAATTTATTTATGATGCTACATAACCTCGAATATATCAAAAAGCAGTGTTTTTTGCAATTTTAGGTTAGGATATTTCAAAAACCTGACATGATGCAACAATTCTGAGGCCAGATTTGGATTCAGTGCACCAAAATTCTTCGGGAATGCGATAGCTTGCTTGTGATACAGAAAATTATATATTATTTGTATACTTGTGTAATCAAGTATGGCTTTAAAAATATGTTTGAGTGTATCTTCCTAGAATATTTTGTAACAACGACTTTATATGTTCAGTACATAATAATAACCTATTGGCTGTTAACATCTATTCAATCGTATATATTTGTTACTTTTTTATTAAAGATTTTGTCAAGGATATTGTTTTTTCAGCAAGTATACAGAAATAAACTGTTAAATAACTAAGTAAATTGATCTCATGTAATGAGGATTATTCTATTTTTACTACAAGTACTATAATACATGGCTACTGAATTAATAAGTACGCTATTAGTTCAGGATTTGGAAAAATTATAATTCGAAAATTGAAAAATATCGATTAGAAATTTACCGTAGATTTATAAATGTTTTGGTAACATAATCAGAAGTATTAAAAATTTGAATGAACTTACATGATCATATTAACGATTCGTAATAACACAAATATCTAAACTTGGCAAGACTATTATGTGTGTTAAAAGTTTTAAATGCTTGCCCTGGTATAACTTACAGTAAAATTGCGCTAAATTTACATATATTTTTTAGCAACTTTTTCTTTGTCGACAGTTTAGTAAACTTGTAAAAGTATTATAAATAGTACTACAAATTTAAGTGAATTTACCTTTTCTAGAAGTTGAAAAAAGTCATTGAAACTTGTGAATAACATACATATATTTATTTATAAATTTTTTCTTTGGCAACAAGTATACAAAACCTATACAAATTTGCACAAAATATTCAATGATATATTGTTCAGAAATTGATAGAAGTTCTGGCAAATTTACAATTTTTTGATAAATCTATCTTAAGTTTCTAGTCTCAATATCGAACGTGCCAGAACTCGTAATAACTTAGAACTTATTCAATCTCGCGACGAACACGATCACATTTACGCGGATAATTAGCAACCTCGCAAAGTTTATTACAAATTCTATTAATATTTTATCATTCATTATTCTTATTTACTATTTAAATTCAAAATTTTAGCCGTTTATAAATTATTTCTTCCTTATAATAGTCGATTTCGTTTACAAAAATAAACTTATAATATGTGCATTTAAATCTATTTAATACTTTGGATATTTTTGTTTCATAACAGTTTTTTTAAGCGGCTTGCACGATGTAGTTTAAACTTGAATAATTTTTTTTTGAGCAATCAAATTAATCTTTCCCCTTAAGATCTTTTCAAACCAAATTTTATTTGTAAATTTGGTGACATCCTGGTAACATATTTTATCATCATTACCAAGACACAAGCGTTAATCGAATGTTACATTCTTATCAAAAAAATTATTAGTACGAAGTAACAATAACACAAAATATAACAAAATACTGTTAACCCTTAACTTTTACACCTCATTTTGGCCACGTAACTGCGCTCAGTGGGGTAAATCTACCCCAGCCTGAAAAACATCGAATAAATCAGAGAATTTTAGATATTTTGCTATGAAATTTTTTTCTAGTATAATTCAAACCTTTTACTACCAAAAAAATAGTCAGGTTAACCATTTTTAATGTTACATACACTGAAAAAAACTGTTGAAAAAAAATAATAAATTTTATTAATTGTTAAAAATTGTCTGGAGTAAATCTACTCTACATAGCAGTTAAGGGTTAACGTCATTTGTACAGAAATCGTCATATGTATTAACCTAAATTACATATGTCTAACAATAGTATCGAGTAATGAGATCATAAGCATATAATACTAAAAACAGCAAAGTTATAGCGAAAAACAATTTTTCTAGAAAAAGTGAAAATAAAGTGACCTTTCAAAATCTCAAAATTATTATATCACATTGTAATTTTAGAATAACAAACCGCCAGTACCATGTAAATCCGCAAATTAGGCGCCTGCGCAGTACAAAAAAATTGACGAACCATGGTTTATTAAATTCACTTTTTATTAGTGAATAATACATATTACTAGTTAATATAACTTCATACATAAAATAGAGTAATAGGGATGCTTATAAAGATTGACTGATCTAAATATTATTTTAAATATAAAAATCAATAATATGTATCGTGACGTCATATTAAATTTTGATGAAAAGAAAATATTTGTTATCAAATAGCGACGCCACTTATTTGATGATTATTTTTATGAAAGGCCTGTAGTATCAGTATAGTCTTTAATCATTATGCGCCATAATTTGTTATTGAACAATCTCGAAATGCAACCACTTGAAACTCTTACATTGTTTACAGTTTGGTCGTTAAAAGTTGGGTATAGATATATATTGCACTTAAAACGGTTGATTAGAATAGAAATATGAAAACTATTCAACTAATTATGAAATTTCTTATGTATTGTACATAGATTTTTTTAATTATAAAAAATTTGTTTTGCCTATAGAACATTAATTTTTATGTGCTTTGAAAAAGCCTAACGGTATATTTAGATAAGTGTTTAGTAGTTCTCAAATTCTTTCAGTTTAATGTTTATTTCCATTTATTTTGAAAAAATTTTATTAAAACATGAATAATAATATATTACAAAAAGATAAGAGATGAACATCTTTTTTAGAAAAGTTCTATTTCTACTAAACTTTTAAGAAAACAATCTATCAATCCAGTTTGCAGCGTTTTTTTAGCTGAGTTTTTTCTTTACTAAAAAGGAGAATGATGAAGAGTGAAGCCTCTATTGATGGCGATTTCACAGTTGTAGATAGAGGTTATGGCATATATGATTGGTTTAGTAATATGCCGTAATAATATGGCGCAAGAATTGGAAATTATTTGTATACTCTGTGTATAATTTTTTGAACGTTTTAGATTATTTTTAGTTATGAAACACATAGCTGAATTAAAGACAAAAATATTAAACAAAATGTTTTTTTGACGACAATCTAGTTTTTCTGTTATTCTAAAATAAGATCGTCATAATGTTATGTTCGTTTAATTGATCATTGAATTACTGTTGTAAAGTGGTTCAATATGTACAAATATTGGTTAAAATTTTTCTGTTATTCTAAAATAAGATCGTCATAATGTTTTGTTCGTTTAATTGATCATTGAATTACTGTTGTAAAGTGGTTCAATATGTACAAATATTGGTTAAAAGTATTATACTGTTTAAATTATATTATAGTGAGATAAATAATAATAAGCATATGAAATACACAAAATCGCATTTAAAAACCGAAAAAAATGTATGAAAGTCTTTATGAATTCATGAAAAGTTTATGACCAATATGTAGGATGCACATGTGATTGGACAAAAGTTGTAAAAAAGTAATACGAAGCAGTTGAATTTGGAAAAAAAATAGATACAGTGGTAACTTATCTTAGAGTATAAAATGTGTTGGTTTGTATAAATCAAAAGTTATGGACAAGCCGAGCGCTTGTAGCAGATTGCATAAGAGTTTGTAGTTGAAATGCTTGATAAAATTTACTACGGGTGCCGACCGATACTAGAAGACTCTGTTTCATTCATTAATCACGTAATCGTGTAGCGTGAAGATAGTAGCAGCCACCTTGCGGTGGTATGTAAATATTGCTATAATATGTAAACATTGCTTTAGAAGCCGAAGAAATACAACACATAAATACGCACATACATACGTATATATACATATAGAGAGAGAAACAGTATCGGTTACTGTGTTCAGGAATAGGAGGTAGTACGCAGGCGCCTAATCAACGCAGCCGAGTACGGTTTTATGATCAGTTGGATAACAGCCATCAGATGGAGCGGGTTTGGAGACGCGTGAAAAGTGCTAGTTGCCGAGCTGGCACAAAGATAGTATCCCTGAATGATAGTCAATTAACACAACAGCAGTTGCCTGACCATTGTGATGACCAAAAGCAAAGACAGTTGGATATGAAGCGTGTTCGAAGTCCTCAGGCCATTGTCTGCAGCTGTCAGACACAGCCGTGCCTTATTCACCCTGTAGTTATCAAAGTCCGTAAGAGGCAACGTTCGTCACCGTTCTACTGCAAATGCCCTCCCGAGAGCAAACCTTATATACACACACACAGACCAGCTGGACCGAGGCATTCTCGGAGGTACGTCTCTCCTCTGTTTCATTTCGATATCAGCTATGCAACTTAAATTTTCTCTGACTGGATTTTCCTCGGCAAACTTTACATACCATCTCGATATCGAGTTGCTTTTCACAATATCGTTCACAATCAGTTTCGCAATTCAGCTAACTTTCATTTCGGCATTTTAGGATTAAAGTTATGCATTTTTCTAGTCCCCTGCAATAACTCAATAATGTCGTTCGTAAAGATTACCTATAAATTATTAAATGAATTTTCTTTCAAACATATTATCTTTCTTGAAAAGTAATCTTTAATAATAAATTTAATTCTCTAACAATAAATCACTTTTACAAAAATTTGATAATTCGTTTGATTCCATTTTTTTATGTGATTCAAATAAAGCTGCACACAAACTGACTTGAATAACACTCAATATGCCTGCTGAATCGCTATATATGCAATTTCCTCGCTTTTTCATTGAACAAACAATAGTTTAAGAAATGCACAATAGTCTGAAGTTATGCAAATGTAATAAAATAATATAGTACGTATAGTGAATGAGTGTTTCTGCGAATAATAGCTCGGATAGTAATTCAAAATAAAATGTAAAAAATTGCAAAATACTTAAGTAAAAATGAAGAACAATAGCGTAAGGATAGTGGATTTAATATTAAGAGAACTATTGAAAAATACGTTCGAAAATCACATAATATTGCATTGCAGATGCGAGTGCACGGAACAACCATGCCGGCACGGTACCGGAGTAAGCTACAATTGGCGGCGGCGCGGAACTCCTCAAGGTCCGTCCGTATTGTTCGCAAATTTGCAGCAACAGCAGCAGATCCTAACACCACCCTGTCCCCACGGCTCTGCCAAGATTTGCGACTGTCCGAGCGAAGCCCGACTCTGTATGTATCCAGTCAGTAGCCAGTATCAGCGACATCAGCAACAATGTCAAGATCGAGGCCAGGTAATACCAACAATGACCATAGCAGCATCTGACGGTCCAATAAAGAAAGTCAAATGTCGCGTACGCCGTGCCGCCGACTGTGCCATGGCTCGCTGCAGTGCTGAGCTTGCGATGCTTCAGCTGCACTGGGAATTGCCCAGCGAGTGCGCACCCTGCCGGCCTCGCCGACTCACACGTCGCTTATGCCGCCGCCAATACAGTGACAACGAACTCTACCGCAGCAATAGTTTCAAGTTTGAAAAGTTTGAACGCAGCAAAGACGACTGCTCGACGCCCATGCGCAAACAGGTGATTAATATTTTACCTCCCATTCTATTATCGTCATCCCGTCTCATCGACGCCACGTCCTAATACTACCCGCAAAGAACGTTGATCTCTGACTCATCGCTCAATTCAATTTTGACAGTCAATTGCGAAGATACAGGTCTCAATTTAAAGAGAAATCGTCTCAGATTTTGTAATATTGGTATTAATCTAATTGTTCCTGATATCATTGATAATTTTTTATTTTCGTTTTGTCATCGAAAAATACGTTAAAACTAAGATTTTTTTTATACTAAAGAAACGAGAGATTTTTTTATCAGTTACTTGCAAATCTCAATGAAAATAATTTTAAAATAAAGATAATTGTTTCCTTCGTCAAACTATTTTGCTTTATTGAGAAGAAGTATTGTTTTTGCGATTTTTAAATTTTGTTTATTTTGATTTACTTTTTTGGTTTTTATAATTATATGATCAATATTGTCTTTATTGATATATATACTATAAGGCATCTAATTGTAATAATTATTTTGATAAATAATTTTTTTATTTAATGAAAAATCCTACAAATTTATTTTTTCTTGCTGTCAATTATTTTATTATGTTTTACTATTTTTTTATATGTGAAATTATTTAAAAAAACTAATTAGGAATATACATTTGGCATAGTAAGAAAGAAACATCTTTTCATCAATTTTCAATCTTTAAGATCCTTTAGGAACGGAATAAAGAAAAGAAGAAATGTTTTTTACACCTATTTCAACAATTTTGGTGATCTTTATTTAGTTATATTCTTGAAAAAAATTTCTAACACGTAAGTATATTTTCGCAATTTTCTTACATTTTTAGAACTCATAAGAACACTGTTTCAGACAAAACAAAAATTACTTATTTTGATTTTTATTTTGCCTTCTGCTTCTACCCTAACATGAGGTATATTTTATTCGATTTCTCAAAAAAAATTCAAATAAACATGCTCTAGAATGTCAAAAAATCTAGCCGCTTTTTGAGCAGTGAATGTTAATTTAATGTAGACATCATAATTGCTGATTTTTCACACAATATTGTTCTGTATTATTGAGATAACATATTTGATTTATTTTCAACTACTGCTTTTCAATTTCTCATTATAATTTATATAAAAATAATATAATTCATTTTATAATATAATTATTATATTTAATAATATAAAATATTATATTTAATAATATAATAATAATTTATATAAAATAATCTTCAGATTACTAATTGAATGTCAATTAAGCAGTGTGATGACACAACATAATATATTCCAGCGACTATAATTTTTTTTCGACATAGCAGTTTAATGATATATGACAACACAATAACTTTGTGATATGGAAAACTGCTTAACCCATTAACGTCCAAAATGTCAAAATTTCTTGCACGTTTTCAAAGTGATTTTTTCCTATGTAATTGGCGTTGAAAAAATTCTTGAACCACATATTCTGATGTAAAATTGCATGCTCTTTCAGAATCCGTTGCCAAAATCATGATAAAACTCACAGGAAAAGAGATATGCTCGATTGAAACATAAAAAACACCTAAATTTTCGAAAAAAAAAATTTTTAGGATTTTTTTTCGAAGTGTTACGGTGAAGATATCACCTTGCGACCGTGATCAAAGGTGATCATGGGATTTGAAGTTTAACAGGAAATTTTTTTGTTTACCTTGAACCATCGCTTCTTTACAAAATGGCGGAAAAAACGAATTTTTTTTTTTCAATCTTCATCAACTTTTTTCTCAAAATCTATGGTCTTTAGAAAAAAATTCATAAAAACAAAAATGCCTTAGAATCGCTCGAGGAACATTCTCAAATTGTTTCAGAATTTTTTGAGACAATTTTTGATTTTCCGGGAAACTTGGGAAATGGAATTTTCAAAAATGTCTCCAAAAATTCTGAAAAATTTTTAGGATGTTTCTCAAGTGATTCTAAGACATTTTTGTTCTTATGAATTTTTTTCTAAAGTCCATAGATTTCGAGAAAAAAATTGATAAAGTTGAAAAAATAAAAATTCGTTTCGGCCGCTATGTTCACTTTATCAATTTTTTTCTCGAAATCTATGGACTTTAGAAAAAAATTCATAAGAACAAAAATGTCTTAGAATCACTCGAGAAACATCCTAAAATTTTTTCAGAATTTTTGGAGACATTTTTGAAAATTCCATTTCCCAAGTTTCCCGGAAAATCAAAAATTGTCTCAAAAAATTCTGAAAAAATTTGAGAATGTTCCTCGAGCGATTCTAAGGCATTTTTGTTTTTATGAATTTTTTTCTAAAGACCATAGATTTTGAGAAAAAAGTTGATGAAGATTGAAAAAAAAAAATTCGTTTTTTCCGCCATTTTGTAAAGAAGCGATGGTTCAAGGTACCACCTTATTTTTACCATACGATGAGAAAATAGATTACTTTTACATCGATTGTTTACAAACACGGATAATCCATATCTAAGAATTATATACAGGGTAGACCATTTTAATTGAAGCACCCAGAAATCTTTTTTAAGGTAAGGATGCGTGAAACATGTTTCATCCGAAGGTCAACTTTGTTTTTTTAAATAGAAACCCCCATATTTTTGATCCCGGATTCGGAAAGAGCGGGAAATTCTACGTTTAGATGACCTATTATACGTGGGGTCTGGGTGACTACCAAAGTCGCCCCCAACATCACCTAAAGTTCAATGTTATTTTTTTCTTAATCTTTCCACCTAACTAACCTAAGATTGGTATAGTTTAGAGAAAAATGATGTAGATAAAATTATTGCATTTTGAAAGGGGCATCTTGTGGTGACCTTAACTTCGACCTTGAGGGTCATTTTCAAGGTCAATTGAAGGTCACGACCATATCGATCGGCAGACAGTTCATCAGGATCATTGACCGGTTTGTCAGCAAATAGATCGGAAGGAAGATTAAAATCTTCAAGTTTGTTAGCGTCTGTTCCACGACCTCGTATAGCAGCGACAGTTATTCCTTGACGAATGCCGCAAGGACCGAAAGAAGTTTGGTTGTTGTTGCCTTGGTCCGTAGCAACGATTTCCCGACCAGCATCGTAAACTGCAACAGAAGCTCCTCGATTTGCGTCGCGAGGTCCAATAAGCACACCGCGAACACCGCTCCTTGTACGGACACCTAGAACGGTTTGACGAGCACGCTTCTCAACAGGGACGTTTTGAGATGAAGCAGGTTTTCGTTTCGGAGCCATGACGTTAGATGTTTGATGCGCTTTCCGTTCACACGCGTTCAACCTTCATAAAAAACTCACGATGATACTTGAGAGAAACGAAAAAACTATCCTGTCACGGTCGCCTAAATGTCTCTCACAATAAAACAAAAATTTACCTTTATAATAACAATTCTTTTCTTGTTCTATAAGTTTATTTAAAAGTAAGTAACATTAACTTTACATATTATAATTATATCTTTTATATCCGTTCACTTCGAAAGCTAGGACGTAACTTTCAAAGAAACTAAAAAAAATAACAGTCGAGTTTTTCAAAGAAAAACCATAGCAACGCAGAAACAAACATTTTTCTATTATTTAAATCGTTATTTAATCATTCGAATCGATGTTCTTACTATTCCCTTACTTACTTACTATCCCCTTACTTACTTCCCCTTTTCCTAACAACGCTCTACTAGCACGGTCAAATGTTTCTAATGCATAATTACACAGCATAGTAATTTTACGTGGTTCAAAATTCAGAACAGCTGAGACCCCGTGAGACATTTTATTACGTGCTCGCGACCACAAACAACTGATGGTTATGGCTGCCTGCTGAGAACGCTGATAAAGAAATGAAAAAACTTTATGAAGAACAAACGAATGAATTTACACTTGTTACGTAACATCAATTATGATATTTAGTTACCTCATTTTATAATTTTACAACAACGCATATCAATTACAAATACTCTCATGCTGACCGCAAATAGTACACTTTTTCGTTCACATTCTACGCACGCTAACGTATGTAAATAGTTTCGCTCTTATATATTAATCGACACCATATTAAGTCACTTGCAGTCAAGTTACGTATAAATACACTATCAGGTAATATTTTAAGAAGTATAGAAAATAACATTATTTAATTAAAGAAAAGAAACAGTTAATTGAATTAATAACCTTTTGATAATGCAAATTTAAATTAACGGATATTTTTTTCATTAAGGTATCGACTTCAAGCCACGTCATTCGAATGTATATTCAAGTTTCATAGTTTTCGAAAAAAAAGTTCATTAAATTTGCAATTTAACTCGTGAAACCGATGGCTTGCAATTATCTGAAAGGCTTCATATGTTAAATTGCAAATGTTAATGAATTTTTTTCTCGGAAACTGTGCCTCAAATAAAAAAAATTATAAAAACACTTTTGACTCAAAATTTCATGCTCTTTAAGAATTCAAGGTCAAAAGTAAGGGTTTCTATTTAAAAAAAAACAAGTTTACCTTGATATGCCCTTGAAAATAATTTCCAAGGTCAAATTAAAGGTCACCGCTGAAAACCTTGACTGATTTACTGAAATTTTGTATGTTTCATCTTTTCTGAAAAAGCGTTTTTGAAAAACTAGAAGGGTGGACGGGTGGTCTGGCACACCCTGTATAATTCCGAAACATTGGTTCATTTTCCAAGTGTTTATGATTTTAATATTTATGTATTTAGAAATGCCTAAGATAATAAAATATACTGCTCCAATTTTTCGAAAAACTTTGCGAGAACCCATTGCATTATTCATTTTAAAATCATCGTTATAAATTATGATGAGAATAATTATTTCAGTTGGAAATGATAATTGAATTTTTTTGTACAACTCACATGTAAAGAGAGAACTCAGCATATTACTTTTTTTACTTTTCTCTATATTAGATAGTATAGAAGTAAATACCCGGAGCAGTTGCAAAAATTTAAGCAATATTGAACGCATAGGCACAATTTGTACATAATCGTGTCTTTGCACATTTTTATACTGGCCTTTAGTTGAATCACATTTTAAATTTGACGCTATCGGAA